TAATTATTAATTTTGTTTTTTAAACAGCATCATAAAACGATGCTGCCTATGTTTATAATTAATTTAAATTTAGAACTGTGTATACCTTAGGACACAGTCTGTCCCAAATTGCTAGTTCTAGAATGCAATGACGACCAGCAACTAGTAACTACAGGAATTTTAGATGTTCTAAGCGTCCTTGGTATTTAACGGTACGCGAGATCCTAATGGCTACTAGTTTTGAATCATTACGCAGCCAGAGTTGACCTACATACTGAATAATGAATAATGCTATTTATTCTTCATAATTGAAACCGGACCTGGACGTGGCGCGGAAAATCCGAAGTTATTCAGCACTTCGTTAGCGCACAGTTTTGAAGCATTAAAAGACACAGTAGAACTAATTAAACTATAGGTTTGAAAAGTTTAATATTTTTCACATTGTATAAATTAAAAATCGAAAATAAATACTGTCGATAGTTTACGCGAGTAGTACACATTTAAATAAATCAGTTTAACGGTTTAAAACGCGATATATTATTTGAAAACTTTAATATTTTTTACATGTTATTGCACATGAAGGCACTTAAAAATAGGAAATAAATTGAAAAAGTTTTTGGACTCGGTAGCTTAATTGGTAGAGCAACAGCACGGAAAGCTGACGATGCCGGTTCATGTCTTGCCTGAGTCGAATTTTTTTTCAATTTATTTTCGATTTTTAAATTATACACGATATATTAGTTAAATTAATTTGAAAATGATTTTTAACTTCTTCAGTCTCCACGTGACCACGGCTGCTGCAAAGCATCCGAAACGTCGTCGTTAAGTTAAAAATCATTAGTGTTTTATTTAAATCGAAAATAAATTGAAAAAATGAAGACTCAACAATTGAGATACATGCTCCTCTTGCGCAATGTAATTTCAACCGGTTCATCTAATTTTATATACGATATTTTATCTTTAAAATTTTACAAACATCACTTAGAGAGTTTACAATGCCAACCATCTTTTGTCTAACTTTTGAGTTCTCTTCAAATGTTGCTTCTCGCGTTGAAGGTGTAGTTGAATTTATGAGTTTCCAAAACTGTCGCAGTTAGGAAAGGCCTAAATAAATAACCACGAAGCGCAATGTGTCAACTGAAAAAGGTTATGTTTCATATTCGCAATGTTTCGGGTTGGACATTTTACACAATAAATAAAATACACTAGTTTCTGCAACACTTGTTCCGCGTACAACGTATGTGTTTATTTAAATACAATAGTTTAACGGTTTAAAACGCAAATGCGCGTTATACGGCCTGACTTTTGGATAATTTGCAGTTAGGTAAGTGTTTTATTGAAATGTGTAGTACACGTGTAAATTACCATACTAAAATGTTTATGTTAAATTAAATCTAATAAATACGTAGAAAGTTAAAACAAAATAGATAAGGCGCACTTTACCTACCCAAAAATACGCATTTATGTAATATATCTAATTGATACCAATTGATAAAATAAGTATTATAAGCGAGGAACTAACATACATTCATAACCATCCCTTTTACTTTCACTTGGTTATCTAAAAATGTATTTAAAATAAACTTTAAGAACATTTCATATATTTCTAGGTACGGATGTTAAAATTACTTTGAAATTGTAGGAAGCTTAGAAATCTTCATGTTCACAATAGAATGACTTCCTACAATATAGGAAGTGAAGAATCAGTATTGTACCTCACTTTAAAAGTTGCGTAACACCATATAACACTAATGGTTATATTGTCAACAATGGACAATCGTACATCGTTTTACTGGTAAAATATGGACTTTAAAACTAGCAAAAGCATTCCGGTAGGTATTACGAGGCAACTTGCCAGTCACAATAATTATATATAAAAACAAAATATATATGTGGATAATGTCATAATAAGGTTTATATCAGATTACACTCGTATACCTACTAAGATTTTTTTTATGACGAGGTGTCGAACTACAGACATAACGATTGTCCACTACCACAATACTATCTATCGTTCAAGATTATGATTATTCAGTGCATGAAGCGCGCGACCTTAATTTCCTAAAGCACCAACCACACCTTTTGTCTCCATCTTGTGTAACATATTGTTATTATATCTGCAATTTCGTGTTTACTTTCGTTATTTTGTAACAATGCCATATTTCCACCTAAATAATTGTGGTCATTGTTGGGAAATGTTGCCATTTTTCAGAGAAAATGTGTGAGATATTTCGCAACCTAATTTCGAGATTCATTCGAATATGGCTCCGAATGGGCGCTGCTGGGAGGCTTTTGTTTGACGATTATATTGAATTGAATTGTTATTCATTTAGAAATCATAAAATTAGAAGAATTTATTTTATTTAAAACGTAATGTATAAACCGGTCGAAACATAAATATTTTGCAATGACACTTATTTTAATAGCAGAGGAGGACAGACAAGCCTGGATTTCGCTTGATGGGAGGTGATATAGCCAGCCTATAGCATCTAAACGAGATGCGCTGTCAAGCTAATTTGGCTTTGGATGTTCGGAAATTCACAGACTGAACCGAAACGCAAATAAACTTCACCGCTTTTTCATCTGTGGGCTGTGGTTCGTGACCCGGACGCAATTTCTATATTCCTACCCCATTTAATATTCAGTTTTCGAGACGAAGTCCAACAAGGTACAGAAACATTAAATTAAAAATATGTTGGACCCGTTGATTATTAGCCATGCTACCATTAGAGCTGCCCGTCATAATGCTTTTGGGTTCATAATTTATCTATTTATGCCTCCACCGTTAACTTTGCAAATTATTTTCTGTTCTTATTAAAAAACCAGTATTTATAATGGTTTTCAAAGCACTAACCGACAGACAGCGAAGTTGTAGTATGGGAATTGGGTAATGAATTTGCAGGTACTGAATACATAAATCAACACTCGGAACAGGGTAATTGAAGATGCTAATGGCTTGATTAATGCTTCACAAGCGTAGATTACAAGCTACGGTTTGTTCTCAAGTGGAAATACATGGATTTACCCTACTTTGGTGACACGTTGCTAATTTTGTGAATTTTTGATAACGTTCCAATTAACATTGCTAATTTCTACATTGAGATATTAAAGATTGCCTTTAGGATGGTTGTCTCTTTGGTTTAATGGAGAAACGAATTGCTTTTTTTATACTATTATTATTTTCACACGATGACATTGTAGAAATTAAAAATCGATTTTCGATTGAAAAAAATAAACGACACTGGCGGGATTAGAACCGGCGTGGAACGGCGTTCCGCGCTCCGATTGAACTACCGCGTGTGAGCTCAATCTAGTCAAGTTTCAGTTTCTGTCCGAATATCTTAAGCCAAAATAGGTCGACAGTGCATTATATGGTTGGGGTATGTCATCTACCCCATAGTAAACCCCATTTGTCTGTCCTCCCACTCCCACTCACAATTCAACTCAACTCAACAAATCTCGTGTCTTTTAAAAAATATTATTTCAATCCACGCTCAAAAAGCGTTTACTCTAAGAGGGGATCTTTACGTAACCAAAGCCGATCTCATCGGAAGTTCATTTAATCGTGAATTTTCTCAAAAGACGCTTTATTTTCACTTCGAACCACTCACCTTTTTGTGAATGCTCGCTAAAGGATTTAAATTAATTAAAACTGGATCAAGTTTCGTATTCATTAGAAATTTCTTTGCGAAAATATCTTGGTTTTATAATTTTCTAAATATGTAATAATTTCATATTATTATTTACTTGATTAAGAGATTCATACGAAATATAATTGGTCAACTGATTTCAACTACTACATATTTCGCGTTTTAAACCGTTAAAAATGTAATTGTGTAGGTACTAGTCGTGTACAATACAGGCCATAATAACTAGTAGTGTATTTACGAGACGTGCTGTCGTCAATTGTCAAAATATGTAGTTTGTGTTGATCACGACACTACTGTATTCTCTATTGCTAGTTTAATGGAAGTCCATTTACGACAATAGTTTTTTAATTTAAATACTGAAGTAAAAAAAAACTTAAATACTAAAATTTACGACTCACAAGGACATCGTCGAATAATACAGTAAAATAAACAAGTTATTAATAGCTTCCCTTAGCGATCGATACCGATATAAAGTTAATTGACAAAGTAACGGATTTTGCTTCAAAGGTATTTACAAATCGTTCACTGTTTCGACTGTCCAATACTTCAAGCTGTTAGCTTTTAGCTTGCCTGTAGTGACAATATCAACTAGCAGGCAACGGTTTCTTGAAATGCCTACAAATACAAACCGATTAACGAAGTGCTTAGCTATAAGATAGTTTCAAGTTTACGCGTTTATTAATTTAGTATGCTTTATTTACGAGACCTTGTTCAAAATTATCTCGAGCATAACATGAAGCAAGTATTAAGTAGGTATGTAATTCGTAGGTATTTTCATCATAAATATTACAAGTATCTTACTAGTTTTCCTTTTAATACTTACTGTAGTTTACTTGTGTAGTAGAGATTTAAATAAAACATTTAAACGGATTAAAACGCGAAATATATAAGTTAAACTTATTTGCAAATTATTTTAACTACGGCCCGTCATTTCGGATGCTTTGCAGCACCGTTTTTTTTTACCTTTCCATAGTTAAAAATAATTTTCAAATAAATTTAACGCACGTGTTTCGCATTTTAAAACGTTGAAAGTGTTTTATTTAAAAAAGTTTTCCTTTATTGTGAAAACGACCAAACTGTTGCAAACCTAAAATGCGTTGATACACCCAAAAAATAGTAATATTTATTTATTTAAAAATTAATTTTAACTGATAAGAAACAATATCTTTTTGGATTTAAAGAACTAAGGTTTCTTTTACTAGTAGTGTTATCTATCGTAGTAATATTGTAACCAAATCTTTCTATTCATCACTAGATAGCGCTCTATACCGACACTTTTCTTTCGCTACTCCCGTACAGGTGACATAACCTACGCAAACTTTTGAAGACTATGGATGGACTCAGATGCTCATCAAGGGTTCTCTTTTTTAGGCTACCAGATGTCACGCAAATCATGCGTCGCCGGGGGCGCACGGGGTGCTTGCATGTGGGTGCAAGAATGCAATCGAGTTGGAGGCAAACATGCGGGTGTTTGCGTGGACGGATTTATGTTCGGTTCGTGTTGCAGACTACCCGAAAAACCGATTGTTATAGAAGGTTAGTTGCCCATTGGACTTATGTTAGGCCAGCCAAGTGTTTGATTCTGTCTCATTAATCTTATATATAAAATTCTCGTGTCACGATGTTAGTTATCTTACTCTTCAAAAACGACTTGTAACTTACTACGTAAATACACTTTCGTTACTTGTACAACTGGATTGATAGCAAACTTTTTTTATTATTGAGAGCCATTTAATATTGTTACACCTCGTTTTATGGTACCTATAGTTATGACAAAATGAATGAAAATTGTAGAAGTTAAAATCCACTTAATTATTAAGTTAATAAAATCGTTGCCCTATTTTTTTCAGAATCACAAAGTCCAATTACCATCACAGAACGACCGTTTGACATCGCCATCAACCGAACGAACGCAGGTCCCGTCTCGGCCTCCAACACAAACCCAACGCCCTTCGTTCATGACAAAACCCATAGATGGCGCGCCGTCAAATAGCTATAGACCGCCAGAAATTCATTTACCAGTGGGCAATCTAGAATCACATAGCGAACAAAATAGTGATAATATAGTAAATAAAATAACATATAACAGTTTAAATAAGTACCAAAATGTAAATACACCGAACAATGACGTGGAAGCTAGTCCTCACAATAAAATATCTTCTAGTCTTAGCATAATACCGGGCGCGCGACCTATGGCTGTTTCCGACCACAATCTTGACAATAGCATACCTGCAGGTGAGTATACTTTATTACCTTAAGTTTACTTTAAAAAAATATTTGTCCGGGCTCATTGGTCTAATGGTAGCTATGGATGCCTATTAATCAACGGGACGTGGGTTAGATCCCCACCGGGTCCCAACATGTTTCTAATTTGTCTGAAACATGTTGGACTTCGTCTGTAAATCTGGATATTAAATGAATGTTAGGAATATTAAAATTCCGCCGGGTCATGAACCACCGTCCACCGATGAGCCGGTAAAGGTCGACTTGTGTCCTTGTGTTGGTCGAGCTCATCTTGTGTAGATGTTATATGACTGGGGTATTTCATCTCCCATCATTATTTTTCCATACTAACAGTTAAATTAACTCTGTCTGTCTGTCTGATACCATATAGTCTATAGAGAATATTTATACTAACATTATACTATTGTTTGTAAAAATTTTACATAAGCTAGAGATATAGGATAGGTACTGTCTATAGTTTACGCGAGTAGTACACATTTAAATAAAACACTTTAACGGTTTAAAACGCGATATATTAGTTAAACTTATTTGAAAATGTTAAAAATCATTTCCAAATAAGTTTAACTAATATATCCCGTTTTAAACCGTTAAAGTGTTTTATTTAAATATAGGATAGGTTCCTATTTTCATAAACTGTTCACTGTTTCAGCTCACATGTCCAGGCCAAACAACGTGAACACAATGCACTGGCAAGCCACAACCGAACCCAGTTTCATAACGAAGCCGCGCCCAAATTGGGAGAAACCCGGCAAACCAAAACCAACCAAGAAGTTCACAACGACGACGAGTAAACCTCACAAAAGTTACTTGAAGCCGAAAGAACCGATATTGAATATTATCAATAAGACAGACGAAACCACGGCTCCAACTATACATACTACAGCTGCGACAAATAGTGTCGGTTAGTATAATTAGCTGTATGTTTGCACAAAGGTTTTTAGACCCGTTTTCTTAAGTAATCTTTTTGTTCAGCATTATGCATACAAAATTATGGTGTAGTATTGTGGGCGCAACATTTACAAGATACTTAAGAGATAAGGAACAATTCCGCCGTGTCTGTTGGTCTATTAAATCTCGCAAAAAGTTTTAATGCCCGCTTTTGTTATTTTTAATATATGAACTTAAATTAAGATTAATAATTTAAAATTAAGAATAGTTCATAAATTTCTCTATAAGTGAATTTGTAAATGTTAAGAGAAATAAACGCATCAAACCATAAAAATATATAATAATAATAATACCTCTATATTAATTATTAACAGACGATTAAGTAAAGCTCCCGCTCTTATATCTTCTATCCAAAAATTCTAGTTACGAAACAAGTTAACGCGTTTCAGAATGTGGAGTAACGGCAATGTGGCCGCGTCCAGACTCCCGTATCATGGGAGGAAAGGATTCGAGTTTCGGTAGATGGCCGTGGCAGGTCTCTGTCCGCAGAAACTCATTCTTTGGGTTCTCATCAACACATCGATGTGGTGGAGCTATTATCAATGAAGGCTGGATAGCGACAGCTGGACATTGTGTCGATGAGTGAGTCATAAGCAGAGTACAGACCATCGAATTGTAATAAATTGTAGGAATAGCCGTAGGAACTAAAAACAATTACGTACACGTTAAAAGTTTGATTTAAAATTTCTTCTAAAAACTGCCATCTAGCGATATTTAAAAGAAACTATTTTGACCAAGAGATTATTTAACAGCAGCATAATGTAATGTTTAGAGTATAGATGGCGCTAATATAAATATAAAATATTTTTAAATTACATATGTAGAACAGATACTTTAAGACTAATAAGACTTCGTTTGGAACTTAGTGTCATAGATTTTTTATTTCTTTTGTTTTCACGTCATTAACAGTACGCGTAAAAACTAAAAGTATTGGTTTTTTATTCATCTAGTGGTCTGTACTCAGCGTTAAAATAAAAATAAAAATAATTTACAATCTCATAAAGAATTCCACTATAATTGCACTTTTGAAAACGTTTTAATGACTATACTGTAATATTTAAATGTAATTAAATTTTCAGTCTGCTTACATCAGCTATACGTATTCGCGTAGGAGAATTTGACTTCTCCTCTGTCTCGGAGCAGTACCCCTACGTCGAGCGTGGTGTTGCAAGAAAAGCGGTCCATCCAAAGTATAACTTTTTCACTTACGAGTACGATCTAGCTTTGGTGAAACTAGACTCGCCAGTACAGTTTGCGCCGCATATATCCCCCATATGCCTCCCAGCCACTGACGACTTACTCGTTGGGGAGGCTGCGACTGTCACTGGTTGGGGAAGACTATCGGAAGGAGGAGTTTTACCATCTATTTTACAAGAGGTATGACTTGAGGGACTTTTATGTTTTTTTCTAGATTTGTATGTTGACAACTATGAACAATTTTCTTAAATATAATATTTAAGAAGGCAAGCATAATTTGTAAAATGACACACGGAAAAATTCAGATGTTGCCTTAAATAATAAAAGAAGTAATTCAAATGTGGAAAATTTTAATATTTTTCACATGGTACTCACTGCTTAAGATGGCATTATATAAATTAAAATCGATGCGATTGAAATCTACGATATTGACAGTACTTGAAACAGCATCCACAGCGTTTCGTACTATTGCTCTAACCAATTTAACTACCGTGTTTACGCGGCTTTGTCGATTTTTTTCAACCTATTAATACATGTCGGACAAATGTATTTCAACCTTAACATTTGCGTGTTACTTACTTCAAATAAACAAGGAAATGTCCTTCAGGTGCAGGTACCAATCGTATCAAATGAGCGTTGTAAATCAATGTTCCTGCGCGCTGGGCGGCATGAGTTCATTCCCGATATTTTCCTGTGCGCCGGGCACGAGACCGGGGGTCACGACTCTTGCCAGGGCGACTCGGGTGGCCCACTACAGGTAATACTACGACGAGTGAAGTCAGAGCATTATCTAAAGAAGAGTTGGTTTGTTTGAACGCACTAATCTCAGGAACTACTAGTTTGAATTGAAAATGTGTTGGAAATATATCAATCCATTGTTTGAAATTGAGGAAGGCTTTAAGCTATATAACATATAATAACACGCTACGATCAATAAGAGTAAAAAATAGAAGGAAATGTAGGAAAGCGGAAAAAAAATCGGCATCACGGCTTCCTTTGCGTGCGCTGCGAAAAGGTTTCAAAAACCGAATAAGAATGATAATTTTTTAAATGAAATGTCTGCGTCAGTATATGCCTATCTTGTAAGATTAACATGACGCGATGGGAAGCGGAAGACGTTGTCATTTTTAAAGCGGGCGGTTGATTGCAAAATTAAATATGATGCCCAAAATGACTATTTTACGTGGGCGAAATCGGGGGCACAGCTAGTAATAAAATAAGCCATTTAACGTTTAGTTCTATAAATACGACAAAATAAGAAAGACTGCATACTAGATCAGAAGCGATGTTCTGTTCAAGTGTAATTAAGAACTGGTTATCGAGGTTTTGGCATCACGGGTGGATGTCACTTTTTCAACTGGCCGAACAGCAGCAAAAATGTAGCTTTACAAAATGTTAATAAAGGCTGAATGTTACAATTTGTGACATAACATAATCATACATATCAACTGTGATATCAATAAATTGTGTAAGGCATTCGCGGCCATTTTTGCGCGAGAACTTTGATGAGATCTTCTGAAGAGAAGTGTCTTTAACGGTTTAATAACATGTTAAGTTATATTGATTATCAAAGGTACTTTAATGATTATTTACACACATATCATAAGAATTGCTTTCAGTAACTGAGAAGCAGTATAAATAACAGAATAAATATCCATATTTCATTGTGCACTGCATAAATTATTGTCTCCTTCAGATTTGTCGCGGAATTCTTTTATTTCAATCTCATCTCCTGCCGTTTGTTGGAAATAAATAGCGACGGGCGACGTTTTGCAAAACGACATTAATTTCTTACTTTTCCTCACAGGGTCCTTTCCCTTGTATAGCAATAAGGATCGCGTTAATTTTTATTTACAATGAAAAAATACTTATCTTTTGCTCTTTATACAATGGAATTCTCTGTTATATTCAAGTTATTTATTATCAAGCGACTTATGTACATAACACTACGTCCTAAAAGTTAATCTTTAAAGATAGACATATAGTGTCGCGGACATTGTTACAGATTATTTTGAGGGGCATTTTTCTTGCGTTCATATACTTGGGTATCTTGAATTCTCTTTTTTTACTTCTTTTGTAGCCTAAAGCCTTCCTCTATTAATGCTCTAAACAATACAATAATTTTTCAATTTGAATGAGTAGTTCATGAGTTTAACGCGTTTAAACAAAAAAAACCTCTTCAGCTTTATACATAAGTTAAGATAATATTAGCTATACCAATAGATACCTAACAGTTTTTAAAATACCAAGAACAGGTCAGCAAAGCTTTCGAATTTCTACGTCCTTCTACTGAAATTCAATTTAAAGCACAAAATAATAATATAAAGAATAAGCGTTATGATAAAACGATTTTAGTTTATTACGATGTCAGTGGCAATATTCGCTCAACTTTGAACGAACATGCTGGGTAATTGTAAATTCAATATTTTAAATTATAATTCCATAAAGGTTTATAACGCTGTTGGAGTTTGTTGTTTTTTTCATTTAGTTTTAATGAGTGTATTGACGCTGCCCATCTATTCTATTTAATTTCAGTGTATTTGACACTTAAACAACAGTAGATATCTTGATCTATTGTTATTGGCTTAAAACAAATGCTAATATATTTTAAAAAAGGAATCTATGAATTAAGAAATAAACACAAAATATTTTTAACGATTTTCAGGTGAAAGGAAAGGATCAGAGGTACTTCTTAGCGGGCATCATAAGCTGGGGCATAGGGTGTGGAGAAGCGAACCTACCAGGCGTCTGTACAAGGATATCTAAATTCGTACCCTGGATTCTGCAGACTGTCAATTCGTAAATTGCATGTCTCTATATACCTTAAGTAAGATTAAAAGAGTATTTCAGCGTAATCTTCAAAGGAACAAACGTATCTTATTATTAGTTTATCCACAAGATCGTATATTCAAGCAATATAATAATACCGGAACAATGGGAGTGTAATGTGTAACATTTCGGGGAAAGAGAACTTCACAGACATTGTTAATAATTATAATTAACGTCAAGTTTCTGCGACTCGAGAGAAAGCAGAATACGCGAAAATGATGAATGTTCAAAATCGCGGTAATAGTATTTGGGTTATGTCGACGGGAATGTAGTGTAAATTCACGATAACACATTTTACTATTGCCAAGAAAAGACCTCGACACATTACTAAATATCGATGTCAACATTAATGATTGCAGAGCTCGTGTGAAAAAAAAGTAGAGAACGAAATCAATGAATTTACTGAGTAGATAACTATGTTATTATGAAAAAAAAAATACTTTTAACAATTTTAAAAGCGACATAGCATATTAGTTAAGTGATTTTTACTTCGAATCATTAAGTTTTTAACATTAAAAGTATATTATTAAACCGTTTAATAAGTTACCTAATATGGCCAAATTATCGATTCAGTAATCACATTTGCATTGCATACCTAATTTGACGAATTACCTTCAAAAATGTTGATTGGATTCAACGTTTTCTGAGGCGTTTTATTAACGGGACAGTTCACTGTAAGATCATACAGGGCTCGTAAAAGCGAGACACTGTATGTACTAAAACAGTGATGCACGCTTCCTAATAAACGCCTATACTCTAATATAAAAGACAACGTAACATTTTGACCCTTCATGTCTGTAAAGGAATCTGCTGTCTGATACGCTATCTGATAACAGCCTTCAAATAACACTATTTTAAAGATACTTTATGGGAGGTTCGATTGCGGCACCATTCTGCTAAGTTCTCACTTCTGTCTGGCACTTCGTATTAGTAGAACGTATTTTTTATTGTTAGAGTTAATAATGGAGCAACTCCGAAACTCTGCCAGATTTTATGCCTCAGTAATTTAGAACTATGAATCTGCTTGATTGAATTATTATAGCTGTAATCGTCAATACATGTTCTTTTCAAACGTAATTATACATGGTAAATCGTGTCGTCTCGAGGATGTTTATAATTTTAGTAAAATTAGCTTAAATTATAAATTGACACAGTTTGTACATAATATTATAAACTAGGATTACTTTTTGTAATAATTTCTTGCCCCTTTTACTTCTTGTATACAGTATTAAATGTATTTTGTAAGTTGTAATAATAATTCGCGAAGATGTTGTGCATTTATAAATAAGTACTAGAGATAAGTCCTATACGTAGCTTGTAGCTTGCTTTATGTAAAAAGAAAATTTTTATAGAGGTGAATATTACCAAAATATACTTCGTTATAATAAATTTATATTTGCTTAGCGTACATTTATAATAGCTTAAAGGTGATGTTTATAAGAAATTGTGTAAGAAAAATATGATGCATATTTAATTTTGTTTGAATGGATAGTCTATGATTACGTTGTTTGTTTGCACAATAATATTGTTAATTATTAAATATGGACGATAAATGCCTTTTTATTACTTTAATACTAAATACTTAAGGAGAAGTGTGTATTTAGTTTACTGAGCATACATACATATACTAACGAGCTAGTTGATCCATTGGAAGTTTCTGTAACGGCGTATGAGATCATTATCAACGATCGAAGTGTATTTTATATTTATTTAGTTAAGTTAGGCCTATTGTAATAGGCCTAACTTAACTAAATAACTTCTATCCAGACGTAGTGGCGGGCTGAGATATTTAATACTATTTAATATAATCAAAAAAATATAAACATAGGTTTAAGATATATTTTATACAAGCATAGACTTGCATATAGATCCCAAAACGTAATTCCATTTACCTAATGATAACCAATAATACATAATAGATGTGAGAATTAAAATATCAACCACAAGCAATAATTTCAATCACAATAATATGAATAGAATCACCAGTAATTAAAACTCATATTAAATCTTTGCGGTATTCGCACAGTTGAAATAATCTAGTTTCGGCCGCTCACGACCAATATAACAATGCAACACAAACCAATGCTAATTAGAATCGAATAATTCATAGCAATTTGATAATTAGTTGGAGATAGCATTGATGAAATTCCCAATAGGCGTGAACCAACATTAGCTGAGTATCTATACTAATATTATAAAGAAGTACTTGTTTGTTTGTTTAAACGCGCTAACCTCAGATAGACTATTTATGGAGGAAGCTTATTAAACCCGCTTTAATCGATAAGAGCGAAGAACCAGTGGAAAATGTAAAAGAAACGCAGAAAATTATTCATCTTTGACATTTTCCGTGGCGAGTACTGCGACGTCGAGTAAGTAACCGAAAAACATGTATGATAGAATTATCCCTCTTTAAACGATCTAAAAAATGTCTGCGACAATACATGTCGAATAGACGGGACGCGGACGACGTCGAGGGTAATAGCTATAATTTATAAAGCTTTGAAAAAAATAAATAATATCAAACCCAAAACAATTATTCCACACGGACAAAGTCATGGACTCAGCTAGTTATTATATAAATACATTATTATAATTTTATACTATGCTATGCTATGTTTGGAGGTTGAATATTATAGAATATAACTCGAGCTAGCTTTCGATATTCCTTTCACTAATTATATATCCAGATTTCCAGACGAAGGTTGTTGGACTTCAGAAAGATTATTTGATTCCATTGTCCTGTTGGACACGGTGACCAGAAGGAATCAAAGCCTCGACCCATTGATTGTTAGCCATACATCGCTACCATTACACCAGCGAGCCCGTCATATTCCACACGAACGAAGTCGCGGGCATAGCTAGTCCCTCATATAGCATTACATAATTTTATTAAACTCAACGGTGTATCTTATTTGCTTTGTATTTAATATTAAACAATAGATAGCAGGTTGTATTTGAAAAAATATGTGCTACTACACAATTAAATACTGTCTATAGTTTACGAGTGTACACATTTAAATAAAACACTTAACGTTTAAAACGCGATATATTAGTTAAACTTATTTGAAAAAAAGTTGAAGTTAAAAATCATTTTCAAATAAGTTTAACTAATATATCGCGTTTTAAACCGTTAAAGTGTTTTATTTAAATTGATGTATTGATAAAAAACAAGATTGTGTGCAATACTGTCTATTACGCGAGTAGTACACATTTAAATAAAACACTTTAACGGTTTAAAACGCGATATATTAGTTAAACGTATATCGCGTTTTAAACCGTAAAAGTGCTTTTTTTTAAAGACTGTGTGTTTTTTTTATTTAGCCTCTCAGGATTTATTATTTCTGTCTACCTATATAAGGTCATAAAATGATATTAATTCATCTACATTATTATCGAATTTATTTAAAATTAATTTTGAACACTAGTTCTTACTAAAGCGATCGAAGCATTTAAGTTATGCGCGTATATCTAGGCGAAATGGTCGCTTGGCTTCTGTTTGAATGTAATTGGTATAGAATTTTCGTTGTTTCTCTATATGTAACATGTATGTGACAATTCCTAGAGACTTTCCGAGCGGAAAATTGTTTCCTTTTCTCGTGCACTCCCTAACGATGCAATTGTAACACTTCATTTATTCCTTATTTCTTACTTTCTTACATTTTGTTCGCGCATTACAATAATTGGTTCTTTGTATCTAGAATCAAATGTATATACTACATATAATAGAAAGATAGTGACTATCCTTACTAATATTATAAATGCGAAAGTAACTCTGTCTGTCTGTTACTCTTTCACGTCAAAACTACTGAACGGATTTGAATCAAATTTGGTACTCAGATGGTCTAGACCCTGAGAAAGGACATAGGCTAGGCTTTTTATTTCGAAAAAGGGGGTTGTAAAAAGGGCGTCGAAAGTTTGTGTGCAAATTCGTGATTTTTAAAAATAGAACAATGAAACTTTCTTCTTTGGGTTTTTTGGAAATAGGTATGGGAGTGGGAGTGAAAGTGGGAGTGAGAGTGGGAGTTAGACTAGGAGTGATGTGAGGTGAGAGTGTTGCGGTAAAGTAGCACTTACAACGAAGATTGGCTGCGATAAATGCGGAATTACATAAATTAATAAACAGACAAAATAATTAAAAACGCTTTCTCTCGTGAGGCATGGGGTAACACATGTTCTGTGTTTGTGTCACTGATCGTTTGTCTTTACAGGCAAGTCCTTGATCAGACTTCAGTGCTCTGACAGACCGAAATAATCTATTGTTTCCGAGGGATTCGAACCTAGGACCTCTCGCGCTTAACGCAATTCTAGGCAACACAGGCAACCATTAAGCTACAGAGACGAATTTGCCTGTAAATAGAAAGGATAATCATTCAAACAGACACACCAATTGACTGTTCCATATCTCAAATTAAGGAGAGGGAAATTCAAAAACTGTCCCTGAAATCGATTTAGGAAATATTGAAAATTTTAATGACAAAGGCAAGATTTGAATTAAGCCACTTTTTAATTAAAGAAATAACCAAATAGTGTAAATAAGCCTTAATGGAATTGCATTAAGCATGGATAAATAGCTATATAAAATCTGTGAGAAGTTATTCGTAAAGATTAAAGCCTTCTTTTCAGTAAGATCAAAAACCGAGTGGTTCAAAGCACTTCCTAACCGAGTTGTAAAAGGAAAGCACTCGGTTAACAACAAAACAGTGTTATCGGCAACTTCACAGTTATCGTCCATTGTTCAGTTATCAAACTTAGCCAGATTGAACTTTTACTGTAATGGACTCTAAGCTAAGTACACAATTACATTAGTGCAACAATCTTCTGTTGCTTTTGTCCTTTGTGAAGCCGACCTGCATAGACAATTAGACGGCGACTTTTAGGTCGATTAAGTTTGGTTTACAGCTTTCTCTCTCTTTCAACTTTGCGGTTCAATGTCATGACTGTCATGACTAGCATTACGTTAAGCGCTAGAAACAT